ATTCTAGCACAAATATCATATCAGAATCATATAGGATATTTGGAATCATATTAGATATGATTTGGAATCATATCAAATCATATCTGATATGGTCAATATTTGAGATATTTTAGGTCCTTCTTCAAATAATAATTGATATAATAAATTTACCATTTTATCGTTATTAGATAGAGTTCCAATCACATACATTCACTATAATTTTTAAAAACACTAATATGATATTAATAAATTGAGTGTATAATAATAAAAAATTATCTCATTTAATATTTTAGAAGTAATTAGTAGAAAGAAAAATTCAAATTAAAAAATATTTGCCAGATAAATAAGAACAAGATAGTAGTAAACATGTGCATTTGTGATAGCAGCAATTACAACTGCGATACACAGAAAATGATGGTCACACTAATATTTTTATTTGACTTTAACATTTTAAAATTTCTCTATTAAAAGATATCGATGTTACGACAAAAATGAGACCACGACTAAAAGGGGAGAATAAGATGGTGCATATTACTAAATCGTGGAATTCATTGTCAATTGTTGATTATGAATAATTCATATATAATTTTTAAAATTATTAATTTAAAGATTTTTTAAAAAAGAAAAAGGAAAAAGAATGTAGATAATGCAACAAAGTACTTGAATCAAAATCAAAATCAAAATAAAAGAAAAGTAGAAGTAGGAGAAACCGTATTTTCCTTGTAAAGTTAATCCAAAATATTACTTACATAGTAGTTAGAAGTTTCTTTTTCAACAAGGTAATATTTTGTATATTTCATTTCATTTTTACAGTAAATTAATGTTTTATCATACATGGAAACTCATGTATGTGTTTATCATGAATTAGTAGCCTCCCAATCTTAAAAATTATGAAAATCTTTGTGATAGATTTAAAGTTCTAAATATTACTTAAATAGAATTAGAAAATTTATTTTTATGTAAGGTATAAATTTTAATTAATTTAGAATTGTTAAATAATTATGATTTCTGATCTCATGTGATAAACATAAAATTCACTTGCCCAAAACTTATAACTAATTATGAGGGGCTTCATCAATGACAAGATCGAGATATAGATTCTATCATGAATTAATTATTATTCAATGAATATGATTTTTTAGCATTCAATCTATTAGAAATATGCAACCTACGAAAGAGTTTTACCTTTTGACATATCAATATAATAAATCAAGTTACATTGATCAAAAAAATTATATGAAGATTAAGAGTAAAAATATTTTTAATGAACTAGAGAAGTTGTTTTGTAAAATATTTCGAATATAAACAAATAAAGTTACTTGGTCCTTTCAATAAACATGAATAATATAGTAGCACAAGAAGTTGGAATAGAGTCACTCTCATAATCAAGATCAAATTATAAGAATTGATAATTTTAGTCTTTCAGTTTATGAGATAAAAAACTTCATATGCTGTAGGAGACAATGTCCATTTTTCCAAAGAAAATTCATTTAACCATTCATAAGCAGCAGGAGACAATGTTTTGATTTGTTCCATCCGTTGCACAAACTTTTTCTCCTGATGCTCAGTAGCAGCCAACCACATTAGTTTTTCGATTTTACTATTTACAAATTTTTTATTAAAATTTGCTTTTAAGTGTCGAACACAAAATCTATTATATGTGTTGTGTGGACTCAACCAATCATAAGATTGAACGCACTGCAAGATTCCTTAATGACGGTCATAAATAAGACCAATTTATTGTCGTTCACAAATTACATGTGTCCATAATAACTTGAGAAACCATGACCAAGACTCAAAACTCTCACGTGCAACTAAAGCATATGCAAGTGGAAAAATATTTCCATTCGCATCAATTTCAACCGCAATTAACAATTTGATATCATACAAACCATAAAGATGTGTGTCGTTGATAGAAATGACGGCCTACAACTTTTGAAACCATCAATGTTGTTTAAAAACCCAAAAAAGAAATTTAAAAATTTGCTCACCTTGCATTGTTGTAGAATGATGCTCCCACTCAATAATAGTGTCTGGATTGAATAATTGTAGTGCAGCCATGTATCGAGGTAATGCGTTAAATGAGCTTTCAAAATCACCATAAACCATTCGAAATGCTTTTCTTCGACCTTTTTGTGCCTTTCTATAACTAGGAGTATAGTGATGCTTTCCTTTGATAATTTCACGGATCATCTTAATATTTATGTCTGGATTTTGCATAACATATGGTATTAATGAAGTGGCAATCATTTTATCATTCAAATTGAAATGATCCTGCTTATAGTTATCTGTAAGACAAGTATGCGATTCAAGCATTTTTCCTGTCTTCCACACACCGCTTGAAATCTCTCTAAACCGAATCATCCAATCACACCCTAACTCATGACGATTGCAAATAACTTTCCAACTTTTACTCTTGGATTGATCACAAAGAAATTCTTTTTTAATAGCAAGACTATATGCTCTTACTGCAAATTTCATTTGCATCTTATTCATAAATAACATACCTAGTTGCATATACAAATTAAATTAATCAACATGAAATAAATAAATAAATAAATAAACAACTATAAAATATTTAGTTTTCAACAATCGAACCTGACTGGATATGTTTAGGATTGTTTGAATTCCAAAGTGTCGTTCGAATGGAACCGTCATCTCTCGTGTAGATAAAATCTTCTGCATTTTCTTCAGTGTGATCTAAGTATGGAATTGCTGTAGAATGATAATTAATACTTTGATCTTCAACGGATGCATTAGGTGCATTATCCACATGATAATCATCATTGTCATACATATCATCACTGTCTGTTAATTCATGCTCGGAAGGTTCATCATTGTGCAACTCACCAACTCGTTCATTACCCATAACATTATTATTTACAATTTGTGTACAATAATTCACTGCATTTTGAATATAATCATA